GGGCTGTGGGATCAAGCACACCTGGAGCATGTAAGCATCTTTCAACAGTGTCCCTGGGCTCACTCCAGAGGCCATATAAGCATAGCTTCAGTAACTAGGAATCTGGCTCAAAAGGGGTTAAAGTTACATTCCATGTATTCCTTTAGCCAATGAAATAAAAATCTCTTTGGAGGCCATGCTTATCTTAGTCATTAACCCCCCCCCAAAAAACAAACAAACAAACAAACAAACAAACAAAAAACAAAAACTAAACACCTTTGAGCTATCAACAAGCCTGCATCTGAGACACGGAGAAATTACTCATATGAGACTAGGAAATAAAAGAAAAAATACAACTCACCATAGGAAACAAGATGTATTCTCGGAGGAAGTCATGAGATTCAAACTGATTGTGGTCTCCAAAATCCGCTGGAAAAAACAACACATTTACTGTTTTATTTAACACAGTACTTTCCATGGTTATTAAGGCCTCACTCAGTTTTACAAGCACATGCTTAATTTTACGTGTGTTGACTGTCTCACCTAAGACACGTTTTTTCAGGATCATGGCCTTAAAAGCCAAGTTTTAGCACTGCAACAAATTTTAGAACAGGCTGGTTTTTTTTGTTTTGAATCTGCAGGCTCAGACTAGCACTGTTGTCCACAAAGGTCCAGATAAAGCTGGTCTATGCAGTTATGCCAGGGACAACTTCTCCCTCCCTACCCACCTGGGCCAGTCTCTATTGCAATACCCAACTGGAATACAGAGATCACTCCTGACAAATGCCTGCATGAGGCTCTTGCTACTCCACAAAGATCCTGGTGAGATCATCTGGCCATATTCCTCATAGCTCCCTCTGATCTAATGCATGCTCACCCTCCTCCAACATAGTAGAATTGTTGGATTAACAACCCAAGAGGCCAACATCTTCTATCTAGTTCTATTAATTGTTACAGATTAAGTGCCAATGACTAGCAGAGATTTACAAAAACTTGGATTTTCCTTCTGAGACTGATATACTGGGCTAGTCAAAAACTACTGCCATGCTCTCTAGTCTAGTACTGGATTTCATCTATTCTTTACCTTCTGGGTCTTTATCTTGACCCCATCTAACTTTCCATCCATGAGAGCATTAATATGATCTTAATATTCACAACATTGCACTTATTCATCCACATCACCCTGCTAAAAACTGTTGCTGTTTAAACATTCTTAAAATAATGGAGTTTTGAAAGCGTTTCCTAAGGCTATGGGTAAGGTTCAAATTGGTTCCTTAGATTCCTTCACTTGGACACTGAAACATGTAAGTACCAAAGATCTTGTACCAGGACAGTGATTCACCTGCGATCAGGTAAGGTACTTAAGCTCCTTCACAGTCAATGGACAGACATTGTAAGCACCCAAGACTTATTGAGAGACTTAGGCACCTACATACTCTACACAAAGAATAAGGAGTCACAGGCACTTACAAAAGGCTGGAAAGCACCAACAGATAACCTGTAGAACAGGAGTGGGCAAAATCCAGGCCACTAGATAATTGTATCTGGCCCACAGCTGCCCCTGCAGCGCTTGGCATGGGCTGAGCCATGGTTGCTCCCACCCTGAGCAGCCTGTGCCGCACTTCCACCAGCACCTGCCAATGGCACTGCCCCAGCCCCAGTATTTGCTAGCATGGACAACTTCCCAGTGGGGTTTCTCCTGCAGCTGCCCAGGTACTGATCGGCTCCCCCTGCCTCCAGCAGCTCCTCCTTCTCCTGTCCCTACTGCACTGCTCCAGGTTGGGTTGGGGGGAAGCTGCAGCGGGTGGCTCCTGCTCCAGCATGCAGAGCTCTAACTCTCAGCCACCTTCCACTCACTCTGCCCAGCCAGTGTGATGAGCAGCCACCTGTGGGTGGCTGCATGGGTGCAAGGCAGCCAGGAGCTGGAGCCCGGGGGCAGGAGGTGCCCAGCTGCAGCTTCCCCTCACCTAAATTGGTGCAGCAAAGGCAGGAGGAGGAAAAGGAGTTGCTGGAGGTCAGAGGACCCAAGCAGTACCTGGGCAGCTGCAGCAGCAGTGAAAGCAGGTCCACTAGGAAGCTGTGCAAGCTGGTAGGGGCTGGGGCTGGGGCTGTGCCATCAGTGAGCACACAGTGGGTGCAGATGGGAGAGTGATGTGGGCTGCCCTGGGAGGGCTCAGCCTCATCCAAAGCACCATGGGGGTGGCCTTGGGCCCAATGGGGGAGGGGAGGAATGGACGTCACCTGTACCTGCAACTGCACTGCCCAAGACAGCTCTGCTGCACCTGCCCCTTCTTCCCCACTCCCTCCCCGCTCCCAGCCAGCACCCAAGACCTAGCATGTGGGCAGCCCCCCGACATGTATGCACACCCTCCCTACACCCCCCGTTCCCCACACACAATATATAAGAGTAAGACTTTATTTTGAGACATTGTACAATCACCTCTATATACACTACTCAAAAAAACCTAAAACAGGACAAAAATAGTTTTGTAATAAAATTTAAAAATGTTATAATAGATGGTTAATTTTAGCATATGTTTTTATCTATAATTTGTTAAAATGATATATTCTGAAATATTTTGTGTATGCAGCCCTTGACAGCTCACCAAAACTAGTTAAGTGGCTCTTTCTAAAACTTAGTTAGCTGCCTAAGGAACCAATTTCCTAAAATTCTTTAAAAACAAAACAAACCTCTACTTGTTAAATATACAGCAACTGACATCTAAGGAGTAACTTTCTGGGAGATCTTCATTTCATTTCAGTTGAACCAGATCATATTCTATCTAAAAGATTTTCATGTTATAAAAGCTGGAAATCCCCATCATAAATTACATTAGGTAAACATTCTTGCAAAGTGTCTAGATAATTTCACATATTACAGGGTGCCAAAAATACTGTTTTGTTTTTACCACAGACTTATTTTAACCAAACATGTAATTTAAAAAAAAAAGGATCCTGAGTATATTCTAAGTATTTCTAGTGGATTGCATGCATTGGTTGAGAGAGAGCATGATGATGTTATGAATAAAGCAACAAAAAATAGAGTATGTTTCTGATGTGGCTTCTGTTAAGATAACAGATTATGCAGAAAATTCACAGAAAAAGTGGTTATAATAAATGAGTTACAAAAGGCAGCATCAAGGACAATTACACGGTGAGTGAGGCAATCATAAAGCTAGTGGAAGGGTCTCAAATCCTAAGGCTAACAGAGTCTGGTGTGTGTCCATCACCAAGTTCTCAGATTTATACTTTGGAAAATTTCATGAAGCCATGATGCAAAGTTTAGTGCAAATTTGTCTTTTTCCATTGCACAAACAGATTTCAAAGCAATATTCATTCCATAGAAATATTAGCATTTACTTTTCCCTTTGTTTTTAAAATCCTCACAAGGACACCATAACGTCTTTCCACCAATTGTAGCAAAGATTATATCAACATTCTTAACAGCACTACTGTCAACACATTTAACAATTTTCATCCTGGGAATTCAAAGTTATTTAAACAGGTGGTAACTAGTATTTCTATAATATAGATAAAAAGATGAGGATCAAAGGGTGCTAATGACCTGGTTTACAAGGTGCTGAGCACTGGCCACTCCCACTGATGTCAGTGGTAATGACAGATACTCAGCAACTATGAAAAAAAAATCAGTCCATAAAAAGTCTGTAAATGGTGTAGGAAAGATAAGTGGAAGTCAGAAACTATACAGAGTTCTCTACAGCCAGTTCCTTGTCCTAACCATCGGACTCAGTAGAAACAGAAGTTGCAAGGCGAGGGACAGAATTACACACTAACTGGTATAAGTGATCAGAAACCAGTTAAAATCTGTAACACAACAGATGTCAGTGAACATAAGCCATTTTCAAAATGGCTGAAACTGGTTTAAGATAAACCTGGATGGGTGTAGTATCAGAATTCACCAATTTAGGTTAAATTGGTTTATTGAACTTCTGGTCCCAGATCCCCTCCAGATTCAAGTTAATACAGTCCCCCCCAGCATCCCTAGATGCTTTGTACCTCCCCAACAACCACTCCCCCTTGCAGGATGGGTGGGCTAGTCTTGGCTCAAGCTGTCTACTCCAGCTGAGCAGGGAGGCATGCTCCGGCACCCCCTGGCCTCTGCCCTGGGATATTGCAGGAATTCTGGAATCAATAGTGAATGTCTGTTCACTTGCTTATCTGTTCAATCTACACAGCTTAAAATAACCTGCAAAGATTGAATCGATTCAGCCTGGGCTTTTTTGACTGTCTGTACTTATCCCAAGAGATCAAAAACAAAGCTCTAGAAATTTCCACTCCAAAACCACTGTTCTACAAATCAGCAGAGCCAGAATTCAAAGGCGGTTTAAGGATCAAATTTTCAAAACAGACTTCAAAATGGCACAAGAATCTGTTGCATTGCAAGATCTTTTGTTTCTGAGAGTCATGTAATTGTTGTGAATTAATACTGACCCACAAATCACAGCCACCAACAACTGTTCATGTACTTCTGATAGGAAGTGCCATATATAGCAAAGGGAGATTTCAGTTAAAGTACAAATTATATCCTACTGTTATTCTGGCTTCAAAGGGAATGACATCAAAAAGAAAATGCGAATATAATATCTAAAGTACTTCAGTTATTGTTAACCTCCCCCCTCCAACTTGAATTGTTGTGTTTGTTTGTAATCTAGCAAAATCCTATGCTAGAGTGAAAAATACGCATCATATGAGACCTACCATACAACCCATTACCTATACCTGCAGGAACAAGTAATTCACCAAAAAACCCCCCCCAATCTCACTTGTACTAAAATCAGTGGAATAACTAATCAGTGTTAACATGAGTTGGATGTGACCTGACTTCTGGCAAACAGATACTTGAAATTAAAAAGGCAACTTTGTTA